CCCGAAAAAAAGAAAAAAACCCCACCCTTCCTCCACACCCCCTGAAAAAACCAAATAAAAAAAGAAAAGAAAAGAAATGAGAAGGTAAGGACTTGAAAGTTGAAACAGACACTGAAGGAGTTCTACAATGTGCCCCTCCTTTATTTTTGCGGTTAATTTTCTTCTTTCAAACCTATCTAGGCTTGTTGATGGTTTATGTTCAATTTGTGTTACTTGAATAATTGCTATTTAATTCATATGTGATCAACTTTTGTCTTATATTTCCTGCATAAGTTTCTTGATTTATGCTTTTTATTTTGGCTTCTATCCAGTTTTTTTTTAATTTTTTTGGATAGGAAACAAAAAAGTTGAATTAATACAAAAATGAAAAGTAAATGAATATGGTTGGGTAAGAAATCCAACTAATAGAAAGAAAAGAACAGCCAAAAAAAGGAAATAGATGAAAAGCTGGAAAGCCTATAAATTACATGCAGCTCTCCATCCCTCCAAAATAGCAAAAAACTGGATCCCGTTGAAGTCCTTAGTAGTGACATAACATTCTCTATGGATTCATGGTCAATTTTTTTCTCAGTAGGTTGCCTTCACTGTGGTTTCAGGTAAGATGTGTGGCTTCAGACCTTGAAAGAAAAAGGATTTGCAGTGGTAGCCGCAATGGCCTGCTTCGGCTATGGGATGCTACTATTAACATCTAATAGTCTCTTGTATGTATTTGTACGTGGTGTAATTTTCAATTTTGTCAAGCGCTCTTGCATAAAAGTTTCTATTAGATTTATTCGTCAATTTTAGGTACTACAGTGTAGTAATTTTTTTTTTTTAATTGGAAAAATCGAGTGTTGTAATTTTGCCGATACTTTGATGGTACAATATTTGAAGCTACGCAATGAAATTGGTTCCAGAGGTATCGTTTGTTTTGTTGGTAAGAAAGAATGGAATGAAAATAATGCTTTTGATAATTTTGACCTACAACTTCACAGCCTGTGGCCCCGTGAGGTTACTGTGTTGTTAGTACGGTAACGTTGTTGAACTGTCTAAAGCAAAACTTCAATTGTCGACGTTTTTCATTAAGTAAATTAAGATAGAGATTCTGTTTTATTATGCCTTTTTCTCTTTTTCGTGATTCGAAATCATAGTTAAATTGGTTCAATGGTTCACTCTTCATTAAGGTTATTCGCTATTGGCACACCCTTGTATCAAGCCTTGGTACGGCCTATACATGATTGGGTCATGACGGTTTCCTATGCTCATGTCTTTCTCCTAAGGACTATAGAACTATCTATGGTAAGCATTAAGCCGTCGAACTACTGACTAACTTTGAGAAAGAAGTTGGAAGGGACGTTAACGTACTTTAGTTTGAATGCAAGGTATGCTAAATGATTCCTCGAAAGCCAACTCTTATTTGAATATGAAATCTTTAGGGATTAATCCCCATTCGATTTATAGTGTCAGAAAAATAACTTTTTGATGTGCCATTGAGGTTAGGGTGGGTAATCGGTGATGTCATATCAGATTGGTATTGTGTCTAACTTTTGTGTTGTATCTTGCTTATTATTAACCCGATTCTTTTTATATAATTGAGTTCATATCAATTTGTTCACAAAATGGGTTGGCCGTTCAGTTTGGTTGTGTCTTGAACCTTTTAAAGAGTATACTCATATTTGATAGTTTGACATCAATTTCATCAGATTTTTAAGTCAGTGCTAAGAATTGTTGTCTTAATTCATGAGGGAACAATGAGGTGCAAACTCGTGAATAACTGCGGGGTAGTAGTTATTAAACTAACCGTTAAATTCTTGTATGCATTATAGGTGGGAACGTTTACTAACAATATCTTTTCTATGCTTTAGTTGTTGCTGCAGAGTTATTTTATTGATACCATGGTGAGGGTGGGGTATCCTCGTCTCAAAAGGGTTATAGGTGTTAATGATATTTATATAAAGTACATGCAACTGACAGACTTTAGTCAACTTGTTTAGCTCTTGATTGGTACGACATAGACGAGTCATCTAGTGCTCCCAGTGTCTAAGGACTGGGGGAGGGGGGGTTCTCTTAAGAATAAAGAAGACGAATAGATTTTAATTCATGTTTGTGCTAACAGAAGAACGAATCCAATACCAAGATGACTTTTTTTTAGGAAGTGCAGCAAGTATTTGAAGAATTTTAGGACATCATGTGCCACGATTTAGTTGCCATGGATGTATTATTAAGAAAAAAAATCCAAAACACAATGACATGACAATGGTGATACAGTAAAAATCATGATCTTTGTTGGAGTTTGACCCATTCCTTATTTATTTGGTATTAATTTACAATTACAATTTTAATGAGTTTAGAATTATTGTTCCATGTAATATCTTAGTATAGGATTAGTTCATTGGACATAGAGGTTTTTGTTGTTTTTGTCGCAACCTTTCGGTGTTTTTTCTTTCTTTGTTTGTTTTCTTCATTTTTCTTTTGGTCCATAATTTCCTTGGTTCTTTAATTTTGGGATCCTATATCTGGTATCAGAACCAATTTTAGAGATGTCAAATAGCAACGTGTTTGTTCAATGTCCAGTTGGAAAATTTGACGGAAGGTCAAATTTTCAACATTGGAAAACACATATACCATTGTTTTTCAAGGTCATGAATTTTCAGATATTGTGACAAATGAGTTCATGGATTCCAGAGATCTATCAACTCACACAAAAGCGTAAAAGGATGAATTGGGAAGTAATCGAAAGAAAGACAACAGAGCGTTGATGGATATTTATGGAACAATTAATTCATCAATTTATGACAAGATTGCTCATATTTCTACAACAAATGCGACATAGGATTTCTTGATCAATTGTTATATTGGACAAGACAATGTGAAAAAGGTCCGATTGCAGACTCTATGCAGACAGTTTGAGCTTCTTCAAATGGATAAATCAATGAGTGTATTTAATTATTTTTCGTGGACATTGGTTATTGTCAATCAGATAAGAGCCAACAGCGAGGATGTGAAGGATGTTCAGTTTATGGAAAAAATTCTTTGGATCTTATTAATGTGGTTCGTGTATATTGTCACAAATATTATGGAGTCAAAGGATCTTGATTCTTTGACAGTTGATGAGTTAATGAGTTTCCTACAAGCCTATGAACAAAGATTGAATGAAAAGACTGAAATTTTAGGAAAAGAAGTCTTGCATAGTCAGACAAGTTTCAAGAAGGAGAAAGATAATTTCAATCAAATTAGAAATATCAGGATTCAATTAACCAAGGTACGTGGCAAAAATACAAAGGTAATAATTTGGGCTAACAACGTGATAAATCCAACATAAAATGTAACTAATGTGAAAAATTAAGGTACTATAAAAAGGACTACTACAAATTAAGAAGACCCGATAATAAGAATTATCATACTAAAATTGCAGAGAATAATAATGATAATTCAGAAGCTTTATTTTTGATTGACAGTGCAGTGGTTGATGTTAAAAAAAAAATAAGTGGCATTTAGATTCAGGTTGCAGTAATCACATGTGTGATTATAGGAAGATGTTTACCGTATCGGATAAATTTGTTCAATCAGGCATTAAATTTGGAAATCCTTCTACCATCCCAATAAAGAGAAAAAGTAAAATTTCTATCAAGTTAAAAGATGGGTCTTTGAATGATATTTCAGATGTTTATTATGTTTCTAGTCTTAGCCACAATTTATTGAGTATGGGGCAGCTGTCAGAAAAAGGTATGATATGAGAATTTTTAATGGTGTTTATACAATCAGTGACAACCGCAAGGAACTAATAGCAAAGATAAATATGGCATCCAATAGTTTGTTCCTTTTACAAATTAATTGTCAGAAATTAACTTCTTGTAGTTCAAAAATTTTTAAGAATAATTAGTTATGATATATGCAGTTTGGGCATGTAAATTTTCTTACTCGCGAAAAATTAGTTTTTGTTTTGCCTACTATTAATATTCCTAACCAAGTTTGTGAGACTTGTGCTTTGGAAAAAAAAACATAGAGACCTTTTTCCTGATAAAACATTTTGACAGTCAAGAAACCCCTTGATTTGATTCACTCTTATTTGTGTTCAGTTGTAGTTCCTTCCAATGGTGGGAGTTTGTATTTTATTACATTTATTGATTATTTTACCAAAAAGACCTGAGTGTATATTTTGAAAAATAAATCGGATGCTTGTGATCTGTTTAGGTTTTTTAAAGCTTATGTTAAAAGATAAATTGGGAGAAAAAAATAAAGTTTTAAGGACTGACAGAGGTCAGGAATATATAGTCTGTGATGATTTTTTGAGAAATCATAGTATTAAGCATCAGTTGACAACTAGGTATACTTCCCAACATAGAACTATTATAGATATGGTTAAATGCATGATAAAATCTAAAAATATGCCTATAAGTTTTTGGGCAGAAGCTGTTGCTTGTACTGTTTATGTTTTGAACAGGTCCCCTACTAAAAGTTTTAAGGGAAAAACTCTCTATTAGATTTAGTGTGGTCAAAAGCCAGGTATTTAGCATTTAAGAGTGTTTGGTTGTATTGCCTATGCACATGTTCCTGATCCATTTAAGAAAAAGATTGAGGAGAAAGCTGAAAAGTATATTTTTATTGAGTACAGTTCAGTTACAAAGGGTTACAAGCTTTATAATCCCATCACATGAAAAGTGATTATTAGTAGGGATGTAACTTTTGATGAGTAGACTATTTGGGATTGGTGTCAAAAGGAAGACAAGTCAGCCACACTTGTTCCTTTTGATGTTGATGAATCAGTTGGTGATCAGCCAATTGAACAATCCCTAGTTATTCAATCCCTGCAGTCAGAGTCATCCAGGAGTTCGCAACGTGAACGACACATGCTAGCTAGATTGGAGGATTATGTGATTGGCATTAACAACAATCATCTAGATGAGGACTTGGTAAATTTTGTTTTGTATGTAGATTATGATCCTATTTCTTTTATTGATGATTGCAAGGAGAAACATTGGATGAGTGCAATGGATGAATAAATTCATACCATTGAGAAAAGTAATATATGTGAGACCAAATACAAGCCAAACGGAGAGGTGGATCGCTTTAAAACAAGGTTAGTAGCCAAGGGTTACAAACAAAAACTAGGTATTGATTATCTTAAGGTTTTTGCTCCTGTTGCTAGGCTTGATATTGTTTGTATGATTATTTATCTTGCTACTAATAATTCTTAGAAGATATTTCAAATGGATGTAAAATCTTCTTTCTTGAATTGTGTCCTTGAGAAGGAAGTTTACGTTGAGCAGTCTACTAGTTATGTGACTAAAGGGAAAGAAAACAAAGTCTATAAGCTAAAAAAAACTTTGTGTGGGCTCAAACAAGCCCCTAGAGCTTGGTACACACGCATTGATTCTTATTTTATTGTGGATGGTTTTCAGAGATGTCCCTATAAACACACTTTCTATGTCAAAAATAATTCCCAAGGAGATATTATTATTGAGTGTTTGTATGTGGATAATCTTAGGGAGACAATGATTTCTCAATTGGAGATGACTTGATATGGTTTTAATGTCATATTTTCTTGGGATTGAGATTAATCAGATAGACAGTGAGATTTTATTTTCCAATAGAAATATACTAGGGATGTCCTTAAACTGTTTAGAATGGATTCTTGCAATCCTATTTTGACTCCAGTTGAACAAAGATTAAAATTGGGTAAAGATGGAATTAGTGAGTTAGTGAATCCCGCATATTTCAAACGGTTGGTGAGAAGGTTACGTTATTATTTTGGGAGTTGGTTTATCAGTAGATACTTGGAGTGTCCATGTCAATCTCACTTGCTAGCAACAAAGATTTTGAGGTATGTTAAAGGTAGTCAGAGTGACGGTATTCTTTATTCTCCTACTGGTTCTTGTGAACTTGTAGGATATACAGACAGTAATTGGGGTGGTGATATGAAAAAAGCCAAAAGTACTTCAGGATATTATTTTCAAATTGGTTTAGAATTTTTTTCGTAGTCTTCAAAGAAACAACAAGTTGTTGGCTTGTCTACCGCTGAAACAAAGTATAATGTAGCAACCAGTAGTGCTACACAGGCAATGTGGTTATGTCGTATACTTAGATTTTTACAACATGCACAGAAAATTTCTTCAAAGATTTTCTGTGATAAAAAGTTACCAATTGCTTTGTCAAAGAATCTTGTTTTTCATGGGAGGACTCAACATATTCATGTGAAGTACCATTATATTTGTCACTTGGTTGTTGATGGAAAGATTGAAATTTTGTTTTATCGATCTAAAAATCAAACTGCAAATATTTTTACCAAGCCATTGAAATCAGATGCATTCGTGAAATTGAAGCGGATGATGGGAATAATCAAGTTTGAAGAGTTTGGTTCAAGGGAGGCTATTGAAGTTTGATCCAAACTCTCCAAATATTTTTTTCCTTATTTATTTAGTATTAGTTTTCAATTACAATTTTAATGAGTTTAGAATTATTGTTCCATGTAATATCCTAGTTAGTTTAGGATTAATTTATTAGTTAAATTCTTTTGTTTATAGTAAACAAATTAATTGGGTTTTTAGTTAATAACGTTTTGGGCAGTACCTTGGACATAGAGAGGTTTTTCTTGTTTTTGCGGCTTGTTTTCTTCGTTTTTCTTTTGGTTCATAATTTCCTTAGTTCTTTAATTTTGTGTGATATTATTTTGAGATCCTACAATCTTTTATTTTGGAATGAAAGAAACCTCTGTATGGAGTTTTTTTTTTTAATTTTGGGCATTATTTTTTCTTTACCTAAATATTTGATTGGGCATTATGAGGTTAATGAACTTAAATTGGGAGATGTCCAAACTAGGGATGTCAATAGACCAAAGCGGGGGCGAAGGGTATATTCTTCATCCCCGTACCTGTTTAAAAAACATTCGTCCATCCTCGGTCCACCCCCGTTAACAGGGATAATTTTCATCATTATCCCCGTCAGCGGGTAAATTTATAATCCCCATCTCCATCCCTGTCCCGGTCCCCGTCCTCGATTCCCCCGTACCCGTTCAAGCCCAAGTTCAAGCCAACATAATTCAAAATTCTAAATAAAATATTTGACTAACTAAACTAAACTGCACGTAAAAACACGTCTACAATAGAAGTAAGCAACCAACATTGTGGGCAACCAAGTATATTTTGTATGTTATATTGCTCAGCAAATGAAACAAAAGAATGCTTAAAACTGTTACCAACAAAGTAAATATAGCCTTGTCTTGTAATACCTCATTCAGCATGCCTTGAAAAAAAAAAAGAGGTCCACTACATACAACATATTATAATTCTAGTTAATACGCCAAATGGAAATAAAATGACAAGGAACCATAGGTAAAAATACCAAATGTAAAACAATCTTAGAGGCTTACTCAATGATCAAGGAGCAGAGGAACAACTGGGAGTTAATAATGGAACATATCCACGCAAATTAATGGAGCATAAGCAAAATGATTTCAATTTCAGAAAAATAAGAGAAATTAATACTCACGCAGAGACATTGTGAAAGGGAATGTGAATACATAAATCATGTATATTCGAAATGCAATAATCTCAGTTCATAACTTCAAAGACAACATGATATATATGAATGCAATACTCTTAGTTCATAACTTCAATGATATCATTAAATATGGATCAAAGCACAAAAATAATAATTGTCTCCAAAGGCATGATAATTAAGATCATTTTCTAGAAAATGATTCATACAGTCATTTCTCTCCATATTATAAGTAAATAAAATTGCAGAGAACAGTGAGTTGTTGAAGCCAAATTCAAATGTAAACCATTCCATGCTTAGGATGCACTTCCCATAAATAAAATCAGCTTTTTTGGCATATATGTTAGAATCTAGGAATTTAAACAATCACCATTCAATCAAACTTATATCAAAATCTGACAAACTAGAGCATAATCTTCAATGGACAAAAGGAATAGAAAATTTTGAAAACCTGGGATGCTTGTGGGCCTGTGGTTGGCTTGTGGCTTCAAAGATGAGATAGTGAGAAAGGATCGATCGACTGAGAGAAGCAAAGAGAGGCGAGAGAAGGAGGCGTGCGCTAGGGATCGATCGACTGAGAGAAGTAGAGAGTCTCAAAGGCAGTGACATAGACAGGCCCTTGGTGATCGATTTGTCTGAGGAAGCTCTAGATGCAATGAGGATTATGGAGAGAAAATCAAGATAACAAAGTAATCAAGAAGAGTGCAGATGCTACATCTGATGAAAACCATGGATTGAAGTTCATTGAAGAAAGATGGAGCATTGAGAAGTCATGGATTTAAGATGTCATATCAAGAGGAGTATCTATCACTGGTTTCCTGAGAAAGGGGGGCGGCGCTGATAGAAGAGGAGAAGTCTACGCTTAGGGTTTTATATATATATATATATATATATATATATATATATATAACGAGTAACGGGGATGGGGTGGGGCAGGGCAGGGGTAAGGGTTAGTCCATTCCCGCCTTCATCCTCGTACGGGTTTATATGAGTATTTTCATATACATCCACCGTCTAATACGTATAGTCCATCCCCGATCCAAACAGGGCAAGTATGGACGAATACCCGTTTTTTCCCGGTCCACTGTCATCCCTAGTCCAGCCTGTGAGTGCACAAATTATTACAAATGGTAAACAGACATTAATAGTAAGTTTTCTTTTTTCGGTTCTGACATTAATTTTGGGTCTTCATATGTTTTCCCCCATAGATCTTGCATGCAGGAAAGAGCCCAAAAATTATTTTAAGATGAGCACTATAAACTTTAAAAAACTTTAATAAGATAAGATGAATGATAAAAAAAATGGTCAATTTCTGAATTTCCTAATAGGTCATGGACGGGCATCACTAATCATGGAGTGGGCAGGGGCAGAGCCTGAATTTCAACTTAGAAGAGACAAAAATATGAGTGAAAAACCTAACCAACTGATATAAAAAATCCTTCCAAACTTCCATTAATGATCAAATTGAGTGTTATTTTCATAAGAAAAATTTTTAAGTTTGAATCTAAAAAATACAAAAAAATCAAACTTTAACTGCTGTATAAAAATCAAGAGGGGTATCAAGTTAACATCAACAAATATATGAACCAAAGGCTAATCGTGGTTGCAAATTTCAAGAATCGTCTAAAATTAATGAATTTTATGATAAAATTTCTCAATAATTTTTTTTAATCTTTTTAAGAAATTGATTTTTTTTGGAAAGGCCTAGATACTTCAGAGTTTGTATATTTTACCATTTGCGTCTATTCATGTGTTACGAAGTTTTGAGCCACTAACTTTGATGATGCACAAATTAGTTTGCATACCACCTATCAAGTAAGCAGTATAATTGCAGTAAAATAAGTAGAGGGAGAGAGAAAACAAAGTTTATAGTGGTTTGGTCAACATGACCTATGTCCACTTTAAATGGCAGGGGTCGCTGGTATTCTATTAACTCCGGTGTGTTGAGAGAGCAAATAGTTACAAGCTTTAAGAGGGAGAGGAGAGAATTATACTTAAATGAGTGTGATCTACCCCCCAAGTGTTGATGGAGCTAACAATTTATAGTCGCCTCATAATGCATAGTAATTGAATTGCTAGTTTGGCAGTCATAATGGATTGAGATAATTTAATAGTAATTAAATAACTGATCTGGCGGAGGTGGCGACCTCTTCTCAACGGACGAGTCAGTTACAATACTCTTCATAGGACTTGGTCAAGGGATGAGGTGAGGGTTGAATGCTTCCAAGACGGCTTAGATGAGACTCTTGGGATGATCCTTACTCCAATGTGGTGAGGAGGGGCTCTTGGATGACCCTTCCTCCAAGGTGGTAAAGGAGGCTTTTGGATGACCCTGCATACTCTCTGCTGATGTAGCTCCTTGATTCTTGGTGCATTTCTCCAGATTGACCACATTCAATTGAACTTGCTAGATCTCATAAACTCAGACCAGGGCTTATAATTTGAGCTAGGTCCTTTTGCTTGGCCCATCATTTGCCCCCAATGCCCTGTGTCCAATGGAACTTTGGAAATGAGGGTATTCAATTAAGTTTAAATTTTTGGCTGACCGGCATAATTGAAAAAAATTTTGGCAGGCCAAAACATTCGCTTCTAGGCCTTTTTTGGACTTTTAGCATCATCAATCATAGCCAAAAATGATATAAGTCTTGTAGAGCTCGTCGAGAGCTTCAATTTGATATATAATAAGTCCCGTTTGGAGTAATAGAGTAAAAGTTACGGTCATAATAGCGAGCAAGGAGCTGGGCACGCAATTTAGGCAAACGGACAGCCTCTAGGCGAGCATCAGCTAATTTTTTTTTGTTTTTTTAAAAATTTAGGTGGCCAAAATAGCTGTTTCTGAGCCTTTTTTGGACTTTTTACAATGTCTATCACTGCCATAGATAGTGAGTTTTGTACAGCTCGTCGAGAGCTTTGATTTGATATATAATAAGTCTTGTTTGGAGTTACGGAGCAAAAGTTATCGGTCATAATAGCGTGTCGCCCTTTTTAGATCCGAATTTTTTGAAAACTCCTTTTGATTGGCGACTCCCTCCCTTCCAGTAAACTGCTTTCACCTATGGGACTCCATTAGCTATGTAAACTTCCTCTTTTTTGTTTTTTTAGATTCTTGAAGAGCCCCATTCCATACAATCTTGAGTGAGAAGGAGAGCTCTTCTTGAAATCCTCCAAGAACAAAGGGGTAAGATTCTTTAACCCAACATTCAGAGCAATGTCGATTAAAGGAGATGAGTTTGTGAATCTCAATGGAGAGCCCGAAAAAATTAATGTAGTTCTCAGAGAGGAGGAAACAGGCGCCAGCGTGGAGGTGATTGGGGAGTTCATCGCTGTCGTTGTTTGTATGCCATGAGACTATTCGAGGTGGGGACACCTATAAGGGGCAAGGGCGCTGTTTTTGTTGAAGATGGGAGATCTCGAGTGATGGAGGAGGCCGTTTAGGTGTTGCCCAGTGCCACCCAAGGAGTGTCGAACGGGCGAGCTGCCCAGTCAGGCGAGGGGAAGACAGTTCGTGAGGCATGTGATGGGCAAGCAGCCCCTATGGTCTGTAATGGGCGAGCAGCCCTTGAGCTTCGTGATGGGTGAGTAACCCCTGAGCTTCGAGATAGGCAAGCAACCCCTGAGTTTTGAGATGGGTGAGCATCCGATGAGGTTCGTGATGGACGAGCTGCTCATGAGGTTGGCGAGCAGATTGGGCGCGGTGAGGAGGCACTGCTAAGCCTTGGACGTGCAGCCTGCTGAGGCTCCTATGGCGCTCACTAGGATGCCTGAGGCAGCGGCCAGCATCCTTGAAGCGTCTATAGCGCTGGGTGCTGCTCGAGGGGTGCCCATGGGATTGGGCGCTGCTTGAGGGGCGCTAGTACCCAAAAGCAGGTGTCAAATGGATGAGGCCCCGATTGTTGACATTCAATCTAATGTAGTCCCTTGGGTTGCAGACAACCTGAGTTTCAAGATCCTACCTAGAGATGGGAAAAAAATGTTATTCCAAACATCAAAATATTTAACATGATTACCTAGAGAGAGAAAGAGAGAGGCAGGTTGCTTGTGCGAGAGTAAAGACATAGTTTGAGGTTTGCTCGTGAGAGAGTTGTGCCTCTTGAGACCGAGCTTCTGGCGACCATGAGAGAGTCGATAAGCTGGAGATATGGGTTGCCTGCTTGAAAGCAGAGCAGAGGTAGGCCAAACTTTTTGGCTACCAGCGAGAGAACTGCTAAGCTAGAGATAGGTTGCCTGCTTGAGAGCAGAGAAGAGATAAACCAAGCTTTTTTTGGCGACTTACGAGAGATTCGCTAAGCTGGAGATAGGTTGCCTACTAGAGAGTAAATCAGAGATAGACCAAGCTTTTTTGGCGACCCGCAAGAAAGCCGTTAAGCTTGAGATAGGTTCCCTGCTTGAGAGCAAAGATAGGCAAAGTTTTTTTGGCGACCCCCGAGAGAGCCGCTAAGTTGGAGATATAGATTGTCTGCTTGAGAGTAGAGGAGAGAAAGGTCAAGCTTGAGGGCAACCGGTGAGATGATTCACCTCACTTGGACGTGTTGATGTCCTCAGCATTCATATACTTTTGAGTTTTTGCCAATAATTTTGACATGCTCTTTGGTGATCGCTTCATTACTTAAAAGAGGAAACTTAATGACTAGAGACCTCCCAGAAAGGCGGTCATGGTAACTTTGTCATTGGGCTCCTCGATTTGGAGGACCTCCTCGTTAAAACGAGTGAGGTAACTCCTTAGACTCTCGTCTCGATCTTATTTTATGCTGAGCAGATGGGTGGCAGGCTTCAGCTAGCGGTGTCCACTAATGAACTGTGTCATAAAGGATCGGCTCAGTTAGGCGAAGGAGCCTATAGAGGTCGGAGTGAGTTTGGCGAACCATTGTTGCGTTGATCCCTTCAATGTGGTAGGAAATGCCATACACATAATTTCATCGGAGACATTGTGCAGCTACATTAAGGTCTTGTAGGTTTCGAGATGATCAAGTGGGTCCGTAGTGCCGTCGAAAGTTTCTACATATGACATTTTGAACTTTTAGGGAAGTGGATAGTTCGCTTCATCTGGTATGAAGGGTGTGTCAATTCGCCTTATTAGGTAATCGTCGATTTCGGGTCCTTGTGCCTTCATGGCGTTGAAGACATCGTCTAGTTGATTTTGCACCTCTTTTATTTTTTCGTTTCAATGGTTGGGGACTTCCTTGGAATTATCATGGAAATGACTCTCATGTTCCACATTTTGGTTCTTGCTCTAATCCTCTTAGAAATGAGGGTCTCTACCATGAGCAGTGGAAGCTGAAGGAGGTGGAGGCCCTTCATAGTATGTGTGGGGTGCCAAAGGAGACTCCTAATGGGGAGTCTGGAGCTCCTTGACGCCCAAGGGCATGGAGCTCCTCTAACTTGGGGTCTAGCAGGTTGTGCTCCTCCTTGTCCGGTGAGCATGAGTTACAGGATCTACTGGTTTTGGGTCACGAGCCACTACATGGTCTCCAACATCTGCCGCACATTTGGGATAGGATTGGTTGGTGAAAGAACAATCTCCTCCTCTCATGGTGGATTATCCTCAGGTTGATTCATCGATCTGGTGGTGACCACCATAGATTCAACAAAGAGAGTATTTAGAGGTGAGAACTTTGTCGTTCTCATAGACGACGCTAAACTGATAATGTACAAATTGGTTTGCATACCATATATCAAATAAGCAGTATAAATGCAATAAAATAAGTAGAGGGAGAGAGAAGACAAAGTTTATAGTGGTTGGTTAACATGACCTACATCCACTTTGAATGACAAGAGTCGCCGGTATTTTATTAACTCCGATGTATTGAGAGAGTAAAGAGTTACAAGTTTTGAGAGCGAGAGGAGAAAATTATGCTCAAATGAGTGTGATCTGCCCCCCAAGTGTTGGTGGGGCTTACAATTTATAGTCGCCTCATAATGCATAGTAATTGAATGGCTAGTCTAGTAGTCATAACGGATTGGGATGATTTAATAGTAATTAAATAATTGATCTGTCAGAGGTGGCGACCTCTTCTCAACGGGCGAGTCAGTTATAATACTCTTCATAGGACTCGATCAAGGGATGAGGCGAGGGTTGACTTCTTCCAGGGCGGCTTGGATGAGACTCTTGAGATGACTCTAACTCCAAGGTGGCAAGGAGGGGCTTTTGGATGACCCTTATTCCAAGGTGGTAGAGTAGGCTCTTGGATGACCCTGCATACTCCCTGCTGATGTAGTTCCTTGATTCTTGATGAGCTTGTTCAGATTAACCACATTGAACTGCACTTGCTAGATTTCTTGGAGATGGGCTATAAACTCGGACCGGGCTTATAATTTGAGCTAGGCCCTTGGGCTTAACCCATCAAACTTATTAAAAAAAATTACAGACAACTACACAATTATTTTTAAAACAAAAGAGTGTCTCAAATAATTGTTCTATTATTTTTTGTCGACATGTAATTTAAGAAATTGTACAAATATTAATATCCGAATAGTGTAACAATAACAGTGTAACAAACCATTTGCACAAAATATTATACTATTAAATTTTGTCATATATATATTTTCATATAATTTCTTTCAAAACAGTCTATTTCCGTTTTGAATTTGTTACCACATACACAAAACTATTGAACACTGTTTTTGTTATAGTGTATTTGTTATACTGTTTTTGTTACACTATTATAGATGTTAAGAAATATAGGATTATTTTGTTTATTAAGGGTAGTATAGTCTTTTACTTTCCCTGCCTTGTTTAGCTTATATATAGTCTCTTTGTATTTAGGTTAAATTATTTCCTTGTATTTCAATTTAATTATGCAGTATCAATAAAACTCTAGCCTCCTCTTTTTCTTATCTCTTGTATTTCTTTAGATTGTTCAACATGGTATCAGAGCAAAGTTTCATGGGACAATGCTTAATTTCAAACACAGTTTACGCGGATCCAACTGGTATTTGTTCCGTTTTTTTTTTGCAATCTGGTATTTGTTCTGTTTTTTGCAATCTGGTTTTCTTTGTTTGTTGATTATGGCTACTGCAACAGACGATTCGCTTCAGTCTGTGAGTGTGAGGTTGGATGGAAAGAATTATTCGTATTGGAGTTAGGTGATGAGAAATTTTCTTAAGGGTAAAAAGCTATGGGGATATGTTAATGGAACTTCTGTAAAACCTAAGAATACTGATGCGGGTTATGCTAATTTGATAGATGTCTGGGAAGCAGACAATACAAAAATTATTACTTAGATCAACAATTCTGTTGAGCATTCTATAGGTACACAGTTGGCAAAGTATGAGACATCAAAGGATGTTTTGGATCATCTGCAAAGGTTATTCACTCAATCAAATTTTGCAAAACAGTATCAATTGGAGCATTACATACGAGCTCTTCAACAGAAGAATATGAGTATTCAGGAGTTTTATTCTGCTATGACAGATCTTTGGGATCAATTGGCTCTTACAGAATCGACTGAATTAAAGGCATGTGGTGCCTATATTGCTCGTAGAGAGTAATAACGGTTGGTACAATTTTTAATGGCACTTCGTAGTGATTTTGAAGAACTTAGAGGTTCAATTTTGCATCGTTCTCTACTTCCTTTTGTTGACTCAGTTGTTAGTGAGTTATTTGCTGAAGAGATACGTCTTAAGTCTTATTCTGACAAGGGAATTCTTTCTACTTCTGATCCTTCTGTGCTAGAAGTACCTTCTAAACCATTCTCTCATAATCAGAATAAGCCTTACACAAGGCCTGCCTTCGACGAGTTTTTGTAAGCAAAAAAGGTCATTGGAAAGCTCAATGTCCTAAGTTAAGACAACATAATCAATCGCAGCAGCAATCTCAAGCTTGGAAGTCTGGCAACCAGTCACAATCTAATGCTCCTAGACTACCTCAGGGTTACAAACCACCACAGTCTAATACTGTAGTAGTAGTTTCATTAGGTCTTTTCACCAATTCCAATACCTTGGCTGAGCAATTTCAAAAATTTCTCTCCTTACAGCCACCAGCTATGTCTGCTTCTTTTTTAGGAGGTCAGTTGCCTCATAGTTCTCCAGGTATGTCACATTCTGTATGGGTCTTGGATTCTGGTGCCTTACATCATATGTCTCCAGATTCTTCATCTTTTGCTTCTATATCTCCTTCATCTTCTATTCCTGTTATGACTGCTGATGACACTCCTATGTCTTTAGCAGGTGTTGGTTCTGTTGTCACACCTCACTTGTCTCTCCCTAATGTTTATCATATTCCAAAACTCACATTAAATCTTACTTCTGTTGGTCAGTTATGTGATTCTGAAAATTTAGTCACCTTTTTCTCTTCTTCTTGTTATGTGCAGGATCTGCAGTCTCAGAAGCTGATTGGGACAGGCCGTAGGAAGGGGGGACTATATATTTTGGATGAGTTAAAAGTGTCAGTTGCTGCTGCTGCTACTAGTGTTGATTTATCTTCTTTTCGTTTGAGTCCTTCTTCTTCTAGTTTTTATTTATGGCATTCTCGTTTAGGTCATGTTTCGTCTTCTCGTTTGCGATTTGTGGCATCCACAGGGGCTAGGAAATTTGAAAACTTGTGATATTTCTGATTGTAGTGGATGTAAACTGGCAAAATTTTCAGCTTTACCTTTTAATCGAAGTATTTCTGTTTCTTCTTCTCCATTTGATTTGATTCATTTTAATGTATGGGGACCTTCTCCTGTTGCCACAAAAGGAGGGTCTCGATATTATATTTTTTTTATTGATGATCATACTCATTATTGTTAGATTTATTTAATGAAACATCGTTCTGAATTCTTTGAGATATATACAGCCTTTCGAGCTCTTGTCAATACTCAACATTCTGCTGTTATCAAATGTTTTAGGTGTGATTTGGGTGGGGAATACACTTCTAATAAATTTGTTGAGTTGCTTGCCTTAGATGAAACTATTCACCAAACTTCGTGTACAGATACTCCTGAACAAAATGGTGTTGCTGAAAGAAAACATAGGCACATTGTTGAAACTGCTCGTTCTCTCTTGTTGTCTTCTTCTGTTCCTAATGAGTTTTGGGGTGAAGCTGTTCTTACTACTGTAAGTTTGATTAATACAATTTCATTTTCTCATATTTCAGGTGTTTCTCCTTTCGAAAAGTTTTATGGGTATGCCCCTGATTATTCTTCATTTAGAATTTTTGGTTGTACTTGTTTCGTTCTTCGTCCTCATGTTGAACGTAACAAGCTTTCCTCTCGATCTTCTATTTGTGTCTTTCTTGGATATGGTGAAGGTAAAAAATTGTATCGTTGTTTTGATCCAATAACTCAAAAACTTTATGTGTCTCGTCATGTTATTTTTCTTGAGCATATATCTTTCTTTTCTATTCCATCCACTACTTATAGCTTGACTAGATCTGATCTTATTCGTATAGATCCTTTTTCTGAGGATTATGATAGTTTGTCATCTCAGGTTTCTAATACTTCAAATAGCAGCACTGATCATTCTACAGGTACTGACACTTTACTCTCTAGCACACCTGAAGCTACTTCCTCTCCTATGGTCCCTCAAGCTCTGTCTAAGATTGTGGATCCACCTCTACGTCAATCCACACGCATTCGTAAGTCCACAAAATTACCAGATTTTACTTATTTTTCTTATTCTTCATCTTTTACTTCCTTTTTAACTTCTATTCATTGTCTCTCTGAGCCATCTTCCTATAAAGAGGCAATTCTTGACCCTCTTTGGTAGCAAGCTATGGATGATGAACTTTCTACTTTGCATAAGACAGGTACTTGAGATTTGGTTCCTCTACCTCCTGGTAAGAGTGTTGTTGGTTGTCGGTGGGTGTATAAAATTTAGACCAATTTTGATGGATCTGTTGAGCGATACAAATCTCGGTTGGTTGCAAAAGGGTACTCTTAACAGTATGGTATGAATTATGAGGAGACATTTGCTCCTGTTGCAAAAATGACTACTATTCATACTCTTATTGCAGTTGCTTCGGTTCGTCAGTGGCATATCTCTCAACTTGATGTTAAAAATGCCTTCTTGAATGGGGATCTTCAAGAATAAGTTTATATGGCTCCCCCTCCTAGTGTTTCACATGATTCTGGGTATGTTTGCAAGCTCGAGAAAGCGTTATATGGTCTCAAACAAGCACCTCGTGCTTGGTTTGAGAAATTTTCTGTTGTGATCTCTTCCCTTGGGTTTACTTCTAGTAGTCATGATTCTGCTCTTTTTGTTAAGTGCACTGATGTAGATCGTATAATTCTGTCTTTATATGTTGATGAAATAATTATTACTGANAGAAATTTTCTGTTGTGATCTCTTCCCTTGGGTTTACTTCTAGTAGTCATGATTCTGCTCTTTTTGTTAAGTGCACTGATGTAGATCGTATAATTCTGTCTTTATATGTTGATGAAATAATTATTACTGATGATGATATTAATGGTATTTCAGTTTTGAAGACAGAGTTAGCTAGACAGTTTGAAATGAAGGATTTGAGTTCTTTACGATATTTTTTGGGTATTGAGGTAGCCTGCTCACCCAGAGGTTATCTTCTTTCTTAGTCGAAATATGTTACAGATATTCTTGAGCGAGCAAGGCTTACTGATAATAAGACTGTAGATACTCCCATTAAGGTTAACGCAAAGTATTCCTCTTCTGATGGTTTACCTTTGTCAGATCCTACTTTATACCGTACTATTGTTGGAAGCTTAGTATATCTCACTATTACTCGTCCAGATATTGCATATGTTGTTCATGTTGTTAGTCAATTTGTTGTTTCTCCTACTATAGTTCATTGGGCAGCGGTTCTTCGTAGTTTGAGGTATCTTCAGGGTACAGTCTTTCAGAGCCTTTTACTTTCATCCACCTCTTCCTTGGAGCTGTGTGCATATTCTGATGCTGATCATGACAGTAATCCCACAAAATCGCAAATCTGTTACTGATTTCTGTATCTTTTTGGGTGATTCTCTTATTTCTTGGTATTGTTCAACAATAGAGTTCGGATATTAATAAATTTTGAAATTCAAACAAGTGATATATTTTAAAATAAATGGAATATTAAAATTCTCCTATAAAATTAGTAGTAGTAAATATTTAATACATAAATATAATTTGAAAATAAAACTATTTTCCAAAAAAAAAAAAAAAGAGAAATGCTAGATGTACTTAAAAATTAGACTTGATAATCTCAACTATTGAATATGTAGTAGGTCCCAATAAATGCTGGGACCTACAGTAAAATCATGGTTGAAATTATCAAGTCTAATTTTTAAGTTAATGTAACATTGCTAAAAAAAAAAATATACATGAATTAAGGTATATTAAAAATAAGAGATTTTGAATTAAATGATCCTAAATTTCAGCAATTAATAAATGTCTTGTTAAAATTTTTAGGAAAACAAATTTTACAAAATGAACATTTACGTCTTTGTATCTCAGTTATATACTTTTTTTTAAAATATTTTATTTTATATATTTTTTTTAATTATGTCTAAAAATATTTTATTTTTATAATTATGTCTAAAATGATAGTACCGACTTCTAAAAGACCCAAAATTTTACTCAATCAGCCAGCCACTCCTAGCCGAATCATAACTCCGCTCCGCCCATGCTAACTTCACTGCGAGCATACTTGTTCAAATAGGTAGTTTTCATTGAACTTCTAGACCATTTCGAGTCCTATTGATGTCCTCGTAAAAATTGTCCTCATTCAGGAATGTTATTAAAATTTAATTTATTATAATTTTAAATTAATTGCAATCCCTATCAAACGTTAGAATTTTATATTAATTTAATTATTACAATAAAATCACATCATTAAATCAATAAATAAATCAAAATTGTAAATCTTAATAGTAAAAGCATTGTTTGTCCCGCTTATGAGGGCCACGATTCTATCCCAATACAAAAGTAGCATCTTTGAGAACCAGAACTCCTCGGGCTTGAATCTCCCTTTTTTCGTCGTGGAACATTAAAAGAAAAAGAAAAAAGACATAAAGCTATATTTTTTGTAGGAAAATATAATGGAACCCAAAAAAATTCTAAATGTGTAGGAGCACTTTGACATATGGGTTCTATTGAAAAAAGTTTACAATCTGAGAGTACGGACTCATTTGGAATTCTATTGGAGATTCGTGCTCGTGTTTGTATGTCTATATTCTATCTCTCTCTCTCTCTATTTCACCGAGCGCACACATGCTGGCCCAACTTAGTACCAACTTTAACAAAACAGTTACAACAATTCTATCTCAACCTGAAATGTTTGGAATAAGGGACCTTTCATTAACATGTTTAAGGATTACAACACTAGAAAAACACACAGAACCATTGATAAAATACACAACCAATTCAAAAAAGAAAACGAAAGACGAGGAGGTGGGTATTCAATTTCCTTTCATATTTCATCAACCCATCATTCTTTGATTCATGGGGGGCATCATAGCAACTTGCTGCTGCATTTTCTGCTGCTTGGCAACGTTTCCCATCCACCCTATAAAGAAAAGAAATTTAAGCCACAAAATATTTTAATTTCATCAGTTTAGAATATTGAGTTCAGTAAACAAATCTAATGGTTGTCTATTTGCTATTCACGTGTATACCACCAAAAATCATAGGTAGCATGTAAATGCTGAAAGGAATTGAGAGTGGATCAGATCTTGTCAATTTATAATTTTCACAAAAATAAGTCACTATCAATCACTTATCATTATTCTTGTCAATGGATCGGATTTTGAGCTGATTCAAATCTGATTAACTGGATATGCATTTGTATGTTGGCCAATTATTTGTATTAAAGAATGTTATCTAACAATTCATGAAATGTAAATAGAAAATCAGGTTGGGTGATTAATGAATTTGGGTAGAAATTTACTAAAATTTAGCTTTTGAATCAAATTGGATTCTTGGATCAGATAGTCGAATCCGAGTATCAACTACAAATAGAAAATCAGTCAAAAAATCAAACTGAAGCTTTTTATTTGGATTCGGTCTCAATGAGTTGAAATTCACTTCAAATCTAATCCATTAATAGGCCTACTTACCATCAACCCACCAAGGTGAATGAAATTTTTGGAATCTTATATAAATTGAGAGGATTAAAATCCAATGATCACTTACCTATAGAAGGGTCCAAGCCACGGTGTTGAAGCTCCCTATATTCTTGGCAAAGTGCACACCACTCACAGAAGCAGTGAGTCACCCAGTCCGGTGCTGGCGACTCAACGAGTCCATACCGATTCCTGAGCTTGGTGCGATACGTACATGACATTAGGCATGGCATTGCAATGCAGCAGGCAATCAAACCATAGAGCATTCCACTGGTCCCACATGCTGCAAAATAGAGAGAAAAAAAAAATACATTTTACGACTATTATATCACCGGTTGTATTACACTTTGTCCATTCAAAGATTATAGTTTTCACACCTTCAACCATAGTTTTTCAAACGACTCAATCTAAACGAGGCATGATTACGACAGTTTGCAATTTTGGAAAAAATATACATAATGAACAAATTTTAATTTCTGCTCATGTTTTGAGTCATTGCACAGTTAAATGCCGGTTGGTTAGGGAATTCAGTGAGAATTTGAAACAAGTGTATATACAAGGTTACAGCTATTAATCCGACACTTTTACTACTGCATTGGACAATGACCCTTTTTCACAGCAGATGATGATGTTATGTTATGTTATGTACTAAGATTAGGACTTACAGGTGTGGCCATTGTCGATGACCTCCGCAATCTGCCCAAATGTCAAGCATGGGAAGCAGGCTGTCACAAGAGCTGTAATGTAAAGAACAAATTCATAATGATTAATAAAAATAACAAAAATGTATTGAATACATGTTGTGGGTGTTTTGATCCAATTAATGACAGAATTTCTTGAATTAATTATGAACTTTAATATCATATGAAATTTATTTTCAATCCAAGATCAGCAGTATAAGCAAATTGTATGGCAAAATTAAGTTCAAATAGAACTATTCAATTTTCAATATATTCCTCTCGCTCGCCTACCTGCCTAACCTGAATCTCACAGGAAGTAGACAAACAATGTTGCCTTAAAACATAAGAGTTTCTGAATTGTAAGGTCCATTGCACTGTGAACAACAGTTCACTATTGGAATCTTGGTAATTAACTGTAAGTGGAAAAAATGTAGAGAGAGAGAGAGAGAGAGAGAGATCATTAAAACCATTTCCGGGATCTTCCAGGCAGTCAAATAACCCAGTCTTCCAACCCTCAGTAGCAACAAGAGGTGTTGTGTTTTGAATAGCCATCGGAACTCCCATTATAGGGCTGTTGAAACCCTGAGCATTATGTAGCAGCGAAGAAGGTGACTGCATCGCTTGATACTCCACCTGTACACCCACACCTTGCGGTGGCGGAAATTGCACCACCTGTGGCCTTTCGAAAGCAACTTGAGGAGGAGGGAAGGCCTGTGGTTTACCTGGAGGAGGAGGAAATGCTTGTGGTTGACCTTGAGGAGGAGGGAAGGCCTGTGGTGTACCTGGAGGATGAGGAGGAAATGCTTGTGGTTGACCTGGAGGAGGAGGGAAGGCTTGTGGTGGAGCTTGGGGCGGCGGGTTTTGTGGTGGGTAAGGGACAGGCTGAGTTGGATATGCCGATGGACTTTGAGGAGGGAATTGTTCAGGTTGTTGTGGGTTTTGACTTGGCTGATGAGGTGGTGGTGGTGGAACTGGTGGAGACCGGTGGTAGTGCAGTGGTTGGCTTTCTTCTGGGTTATTTTCAGGCGTGTTGTATGTCTCATGTTGGTAGTTCTCTTGCTGAGTTTCTTCGCTTAGATAACTCTCATAGGGTGGTGGAGGTATATCATCAAAGGTTTCTAGTGGTGCCTCAGTTACTGGTTCATAAAGATCTTGATCTTGAGGCTGTGGGTAGGATTGAGGGTGGGATTGAGATGGGTCCTGGTAGTAAGCAGGAGTTGGATTTGCCTGTATACGTCCCATTAGTTGTGCAGTCTTTCCTTATGGAGAGAAAGAGAGAGAGAGAGAGAGGGGGGGTTTGTAAGATGATATGGTTAATGGCTAATGTTATAGTTTTATAGAGTTGTAGCGTTGCATTAATGTTATTTGTAACTAATTTTATATTTGTTGATTTAATTTTTTTTTATTGGTAATTTGATTCGTTGTTGTAATTGGATTACTCGTGAGTCCTAAACTTGAATGGGTTAATAAATTAGGTTTAGGGAGTATTATTGTATGGTTAATAACTTAATATCTAAACAATATTACATTGTATAAAGAGATAGCAATGTCTGCGCATGATCCCAAAAAAAAAATACCAAGAGGTGGGTAGAAGGTTGTAAATGATAATTTATTTCTTTTTGAGGTTGGTTTGCAATGTGAACAAAAAAGTTAGGCATAAGAAAATAATGTGGACAGCTTTGTGTGACAAGAAATTTGTACCGATTGTTCCAGGAACTCATACAAAAAAAGAAGCATATTAGAGATGATTTGAATCTCATACGCATAAGTCTATAATAAAAACAAAAATATTATCAAAATCATACTCATAATCCTAAAAAAACGAGAATTTTATTAAAAGTGAGTGTTTGAGCCCAAAAAAAGATAACAAAGAGTTACAGAGGGACAAAAAGGAAATAGTGACAACAACTTCAATATATTATATGGGTGTTTGAGCCCAAAAAAAAGATAATAAAGAGTTACAAAGAAAGGAAATAGTGAAAACAACTTCCTTTTCTTTCTTTTTTTTTTTGGTTTTTGAGTTTAATCTTTTGACTATTAATTTTTTTCTCTNCTGGAGGAGGAGGAAATGCTTGTGGTTGACCTTGAGGAGGAGGGAAGGCCTGTGGTGTACCTGGAGGATGAGGAGGAAATGCTTGTGGTTGACCTGGAGGAGGAGGGAAGGCTTGTGGTGGAGCTTGGGGCGGCGGGTTTTGTGGTGGGTAAGGGACAGGCTGAGTTGGATATGCCGATGGACTTTGAGGAGGGAATTGTTCAGGTTGTTGTGGGTTTTGACTTGGCTGATGAGGTGGTGGTGGTGGAACTGGTGGAGACCGGTGGTAGTGCAGTGGTTGGCTTTCTTCTGGGTTATTTTCAGGCGTGTTGTATGTCTCATGTTGGTAGTTCTCTTGCTGAGTTTCTTCGCTTAGATAACTCTCATAGGGTGGTGGAGGTATATCATCAAAGGTTTCTAGTGGTGCCTCAGTTACTGGTTCATAAAGATCTTGATCTTGAGGCTGTGGGTAGGATTGAGGGTGGGATTGAGATGGGTCCTGGTAGTAAGCAGGAGTTGGATTTGCCTGTATACGTCCCATTAGTTGTGCAGTCTTTCCTTATGGAGAGAAAGAGAGAGAGAGAGAGAGGGGGGGTTTGTAAGATGATATGGTTAATGGCTAATGTTATAGTTTTATAGAGTTGTAGCGTTGCATTAATGTTATTTGTAACTAATTTTATATTTGTTGATTTAATTTTTTTTTATTGGTAATTTGATTCGTTGTTGTAATTGGATTACTCGTGAGTCCTAAACTTGAATGGGTTAATAAATTAGGTTTAGGGAGTATTATTGTATGGTTAATAACTTAATATCTAAACAATATTACATTGTATAAAGAGATAGCAATGTCTGCGCATGATCCCAAAAAAAAAATACCAAGAGGTGGGTAGAAGGTTGTAAATGATAATTTATTTCTTTTTGAGGTTGGTTTGCAATGTGAACAAAAAAGTTAGGCATAAGAAAATAATGTGGACAGCTTTGTGTGACAAGAAATTTGTACCGATTGTTCCAGGAACTCATACAAAAAAAGAAGCATATTAGAGATGATTTGAATCTCATACGCATAAGTCTATAATAAAAACAAAAATATTATCAAAATCATACTCATAATCCTAAAAAAACGAGAATTTTATTAAAAGTGAGTGTTTGAGCCCAAAAAAAGATAACAAAGAGTTACAGAGGGACAAAAAGGAAATAGTGACAACAACTTCAATATATTATATGGGTGTTTGAGCCCAAAAAAAAGATAATAAAGAGTTACAAAGAAAGGAAATAGTGAAAACAACTTCCTTTTCTTTCTTTTTTTTTTTGGTTTTTGAGTTTAATCTTTTGACTATTAATTTTTTTCTCTTAAACTCATTGCTAATTTTGACCCATAAAAGGTTTTTTTTTTTTTTTTTTTGATGATGGAAGAGAAAATCATTCAAGTCATGAATTCTTTCGATTCATGGTAACACTAAAAATTTGAATACCTCTGACAATTCAGTGTTCTCTTTTAAAACATTAAATTATTGCGTAAATTTCATTCACACCCTTTATAGTTATTCATATATTTAATGAAATCTCTTACATCTTTTGAAACTTCACTGCACCCCCTCTAGATTTTACTGTTGAACCACTTATACCCCCCTACTGTAAATTGTCGTAGTTGACAATCTGCAAAATGAAAATCATAACTTAATATTCTTTTAAAATATCGAAGACCCCATTTGCTTCACAAAACTTATCACTCCTCCACCCACATGTCACAATTCTGTGACTAGTAGTAAAAGAAATAACGAAGGTCTCTGCAGTTTGACCGTTTTTACATTTGTGAAAAGCATTGTATGTTAACTTAATTATCAATATTATTAGAAATATCTTTATTTTGTATTATCTCACATCATTAATTATTTATTTGTCACAAATTAAGTTATGCAATCGAGTTGTCACATTTGTTATATATCAAAATATTTTCTCTATTGTGACAGATGCGACTAATAAAATTAATAACAAAGTCACAAGTAAATAGGTCAATAGATATATTACGTCTTTTGTAGTCTTAGCAATTTATTTGAGCACAAGACCCCTGTTACTTTCTAGGTTTGAAAATTTCATGCTAGAGTAAATTTCATTAATATAATTTTTAAATTGGTCAAAAAGTGCCAAGAGGGTAACACAATATTGTAGTATTATTGTCGATAGCTGGGCTTCAAATAAAGGTCAGTCGCATCTTACTAGAAAATAAAATAGTTGTCAGAGAGTTACAAAATAATTGAGTCATACCCTCACTAATCATTTTTTCTTTGTTCTTTTTCAGTCGCTCATTTTAGTCTAATTAAAATAATATTGTCAACTAAATATAATTATATTTGATTTTTTTCAATCTAAATAATTTTGTAATTTTAAGTTGCGACTCTTAATTCCATTATAGACCTATAAAATAGCCATATAATAATTTTTGCTAAAAATTATAAAATAACTTCCATATGTCCAAAATTTATTTGAATATGTTCATTATGTCTTTGAAGCATATTCGAAAGTTTATAGTCATTTAGATATTTATACATGACAGAAAAATAATATAAGGTGGGCAAACTTAAATATAATAAAAAATTTCAAAATTTTTATTTAGGTAACTTAAAAAAAAAACAAATCAAGGGGGTAAGCTACCTCCACCCACGTGTAAGGGTATTTATTTACAGTGGCCTCCTTCGTCAACATCGTTTGTAGACAACTTTTGATAATGGTTGTCAGTCAAATTTCAAAAAATACAGTAGATATCATTGAATATATGAATAACTACAATAAATGTGGATGAAGTTTATTCTAAATTATTTAAGATTTGAAAATAATAACCTTTAAAACATTTTTATTCAAATTATTGCGGGATGGGATTTTAGCTATGCAAGTTTGCATACCAATTTTAGAGTAATGTTATTAGGATTTCATAAACCGATCTAATTTGTTAATTTAATGATGTGATAGTGACATAATTCAATAGTATTTTGTGAGTGTAACTTTTATTGGGACTCTATCACTTGACATATCATCAGATCAGCAAATTAGGTCAATGTTATCACCGAGTAGGATACTCCAGATGAGTACCAGTCGAACTTCTTACCTTGAGATTAGAGGTTCGAATTTTGGAGTTCATATTAAAGTTTGGTGGTTGATCACTATACTAGTTTAACTATGTTCATTCTCGAAAGATGTAACGGACAACCACGTGATCCTATCAATAAAGATATATTCGAATGATTATTGAACACTCTCTTTTGTCCTACCTTTTTTCAATAAAAAAAAAAAAACAGATCAAAATTTTAGATTTCAATAACATTAGACTCAAATATTATATGGACAGCTCTAAAAACCCATAAATTCAGAAAGACAACGCAGAGAGGGAGAGAGAGAGAGGTGTGCATTTGTACGTATCTGTTGGTGTGAGAAAGAGACTGATTAGGCAATTGGAAGACTTGGCTATAGTTGACTTTAGAGTCCGTAATGCAATGCTATGTTGGTGGAAACATCAGAGGGGTTGACGTTGACTCCGGCATCCTCCAAATTCCAATCCATCCTTTGCGTAAACGGCTGGCGACCCATGTGCGCATCACTTTGTTGTCGGCCTCGTCTACATGAGTCCGGCCCCTACCCGGTAAACTCACCAACTTTTTTTCTTTTTGACTCCGCTGCCTAAACTTGATCTTTTAATTTTTGGTAAATTTTCAACATTATAATATCGTATAAATATTCAAAAAAAATAATAAGTGGTAGGATTTCAATATTTTTGTTAACGTAGTCCAACCCCTCAACTATGAGAAAAATAAAAATAAATTTTATCCTAAAAAATAATAAACTAAATTAAAAAAATATAAAAATAAACTTAAAAAATAGTAAGTGAATCCGAAATGTGTATGCAATCCAAAAGTTGGTAAGCTCGACTTAAAATGTGATATAAACTAGTCCAACCCCCAACTAAAGGTGCTATGAATTACTTGGATTTAGGTCAATTTTTCGTATGTGATACTCTAAAAAAAAAATATTACGTGTCAAAAGTGAGTTCTCTCTTTTGATCTTTTGCATCAGTTTTTTCCTTGATCATACTCGGATGTTTCTTGTCCTGTAACCTAAAGTTTCAAAAATATTTTAATACCAAAAAAGAAGAATCAAGGACCAACTAAATATTCACACTCTAAATCTAATTTTACAACCTAAGTTAAACCAAGCTAAGACAACTAAGTATATAGGTCAACTTACATTTCCTACAAAGTTAATAGGATCTGATGATGCATAAATTGATCTCTTGTAAAATCAATAGTCGAGTATGTGAAAGGGTGTAATTAATAGAAAATAAATAAGATAACTAATGGCAAAATAGTAAATATGAGCAAACACACAGATATATAGTAATTCAGTTTGGGTGATCTACTCCACTCTCAAGAATCGGCAGCGGTGGCCAAAGGTCTTTATTGATGAAATAAAGTTACATAGAGAGAGAGAGCTCCGGGAAAGGTGCACTAGTTAGGAGAGAGAAGCTATGTGTGTAGGGGGATGTAGAGAAGTGTGTTAGAAGAGATAGATGTCCCTCCATGTGGAGAGAGCTTACAATATATAAGTTTGGTGAGACGGTAACCAGAAGCGGGGACGTGAGTGAGAGGGCACTACTTCTTTGGTAACTACAATTAAGGTAGGATTGATCTTCATGAGTGTATATCCCGATAATCTTTCTCTCACGTTATCTTATCTTCCTGGACTCTTTGAATCTTGGACTAGGTCGGATTGATAAAGTGGGTTTAGGCTTCTTTTTGGCTAACTTGAGCTTGCTTGATTAATTGGGCCTAGCCCAGTTGTTTTTGGGCTCATCATTTGCCCCCCATGCCCTAAGCCTTCGACTATTTGCGAGAAAAAAGGGGTTGAGGGCATGAGCTTCTTCTTCACTTAAATAGGCAAAAGTTTTCTTGTTCTCCATAGCGTCTTTTCATTCAGGGACTCTTTGTTGAATCTACTGACACTGGATGCTTTTTACATTTTTCTACATTCCTTTTGTTGGGTCTTGAAAGAATCTTGCCTATATATAGAGGCCTTTAGACTCCCTTACTTAATTTCCCCTTCAATTTTCCTTTGAGGCTTCTCCTAGAAGCCATTCTCTTTTCCTTGGAGGCTTCTCCTAGAAGCCATTTTCTTCAAATCTTTTCTTTCCTAAACCAAATCAAGATTATGAAGGCCACGATCTTGAAGGAGGTGAGAGTGGATGGCGCCCAAGGTGGAGAAGGCGAGGCCCAGGCCTCACTCGGTGCCATGGGAGGCATCCAAGGTAGAGGGGACGAGACCCATGGTTTAGGCAAAAATGTTGGAGGCACCCAAGGTAGTGGGGGCGAGACCCATGCCTCATTCAGCAATGTTGGCGCCTAAGGTAGAGGGGGCGAGGCCCATCGTCTAGGCGGCGCTATGGGAGGAACCCAAGGTGGAGAGGGCGACGCCTACGCCTTATTCGGCTCTATGGGAGACGCCCAAGGTGGAGAGGGTGGCGTCTATTGTCCAGGTAAAGCCGTTAGAGGTGCCCAAGGTGGAGAGGGCAGCGCCCATTGTCCAGGCAGCGCCGTTAGAGGTGCCCAAGGTGGAGAGGGCAGCGCCCATTGTCCAGGAAGCGCCTAAGGTGGAGAGGGTGGTGCCCAAGGTAGAGGGAGGCGGCATCCATCGTCTAGGCGACACCATGGGAGGTGCCTGAGATGAAGAAGGAGGCGCCCGAGACGAAGAGGGCGGCGCCCGAGGCAGAGAGAGCGACATCAGTGGTTCATTAGGCACTTGGGTGATGACTTTGACAACGAAAGGAGAGAGGAGGTATTAGGCGATCCCAAGAAGCATGTAGGTAAGCCCAGCGACACCTTTGGACACTTGGGTTGCGCGAGGAAGTGGCCAGGCAGAGATTTGAACAGACCGAGTTCTCTGACTTGATTTGAAATGTGTACACTCAAATGCAGACGGTCAAGTTGTAGTAATAATCCGGTTAAGTTCGCAGTCGAATCCACAAGGAGCTATGATTAGTGTTTTAAAGTAAACAGTGACAGAGACCAAGTAACTAGAGTTTCTTGAGAGTTTTGAAGTTGAGGGATTTTTTGGATAGAATATAAGATTCTTTCCAAGAGATTTTTCTAGAAAAAATATAAGATAAATTATCAAAATTAGCAACCACCCTTTAGTTTGAGGATCAGAACATGTAGTTAATCATCCGGTTTATTATACTTGTATTTTATAACTCAAATAACTCCCGTGTCAACGGCAAGTTAATCGGAACATAAAGATGAACGGTGTGAATTAAACACATGGTTCTGATGTCTTTCTAGAAGTTTACAAGAATTACTTGTGCAGAGACTCAACCCGTCTACAAACAAGTAAGTGTTTTTATAAGGTATCCAACCATGGCATTAATGTTCCTTTCTTTAATAAAGCACAATAATGTTGAAGATTGAAAGGTTGTCATGAAGATCTAGCTGTAGTACTTGTCTTGAACCAACGGGTATTTCTATGTAAGAGTCATCCATGTTATAGAAAGAACCCATTATTATACAAAGTAACTTAACTTTACTAGATGCATTCAATCATTCAATAAACAAGTAGATAAAACATTAAGGCATAAAGAAAATGCACAAATATAACTTTTGGATAATCAATACATATTCATCACCTCTTACTAAAGAGTGAATGAGGAACTACTCACTCTTCATGGCTTTGGTAAAACTAGAAAAGTGAGTAATGTTCATCCCTCCAAGTAGAGGAGTTACAAGGGACACTATACTATCCACGAAGCTGGTCTTCAATGAAGAATGAGTAAATCACGTTCCACCCTTCACGGTTTTGGTAAAGCTCTAGAAAAGTGGAAGAGTTTCACTCCTCTGAGAGAGAAGATGCTCAAGCAATGGAAGTAAAAGAAGCTAACAAATGAAAGTAGAAGAAAGCTAGCTACTTTTAGAGGGTTTCCACCACAATCAAAAGATGAGTTATCTTTCTTGATACTTGTAAATAAAAGCAAGTACAATTACAAGGGGAGTCTAAGCCTCCATCATGGTTGTCACAACATAAATGTAAAAACTTGGCACAATTAAATAAAAAACTTCAATTACAAGGGTAGTCTAAGTCTCTATCATGGTTGATACAAATGCAAAATGAAAACATAAACAAGAAATGTACAAGAACTAGCTCTTTACTCTACTTTACAAGAGAAAAGGATTCCTACTCCACAAGAGAAATATTGCACCTCCTTACTCTACAAGAGGAAGAATGCCTTTTAAGTTCCCAACATGAGAGTATTTATAGGCAAGGAAGGGGAGGGGGAAAGACAAGAAGATAAGAGAGGATGAGTGAATAGTGTATGTCGTCTATGAAAATCAACTACTCTACAGGCAGTCTATGGAGGACGTTCAAACGTGAATCGACGTTCGAACGTTGTCTTCTGTTTTGCTTTAGGGGCGTTCGAACAGTGTCTGTCGTTCGAACGTGTCTTCTATTTTTGCTTTATAGGCGTTCGAAAGCCAGATGGGGCCTGACATTTTCCACTCAAGTGGTATTCTATGAAGTTTATTTCTACACTCTATCTAGAAGTCTGTTCTTCAACCGATTCCAAGGGACGTTCGAACGTTTAATGGCATTCAAACGTGGTACTTAAGTGCTTCAGAGTCCTTCTTTGTTTGCTGTAACACGCCATGTCTCATCAGTCTGGCCTTCAATCAAGTCAAGTGGACATTTGAATGTTATTTGGCGATCGAACGTGGTACTCAAGTACCTCAAGGTCCTGGTGCTTGGCTGCAACACACTGTGTCTTAGCAAGTTGGTTTTGTCATAGTCCAAATGGACATTCAAACTTGAGTTCCCGTTCGAACATTCTTGCTTTGTTCTAAGCCTCTTCAATTTCATTTCCTAATGTGCTGGTGCGACATTCAAGTGTGACTTTTGTTGCTCTCGAGCCCTTGTTCACTTTAGAACCTGAAATATCCTTACTTGAACTCCATCAAAATACAATTAGTCCTAAAAAGGCATAATAATATGCTACATTTAAGTACTAATCATTAGGGCTTGAAAAGTTTGATTTTTTTGTGAGAATGGTGATAAATGAGGTGAGATTGAGTTTGGAATGGTTGAGTTTTTGTAGNAATCAAGTCAAGTGGACATTTGAATGTTATTTGGCGATCGAACGTGGTACTCAAGTACCTCAAGGTCCTGGTGCTTGGCTGCAACACACTGTGTCTTAGCAAGTTGGTTTTGTCATAGTCCAAATGGACATTCAAACTTGAGTTCCCGTTCGAACATTCTTGCTTTGTTCTAAGCCTCTTCAATTTCATTTCCTAATGTGCTGGTGCGACATTCAAGTGTGACTTTTGTTGCTCTCGAGCCCTTGTTCACTTTAGAACCTGAAATATCCTTACTTGAACTCCATCAAAGTACAATTAGTCCTAAAAAGACATAATAATATGCTTTATTTAAGTACTAATCACTCTCAAGATATGTTATCTGGTGCTCTTATTTATCCCTTTGTTGGCATGGGTATTTTCCAGAGAGGGAGACTATGATGGCTTTAGACTGGGTAAGAGACAAACCCGCTCTCTCCACTCCTATTTTCTCCTTAATGTCTTCTCGATGTTGGT